GACGTACTCTGAGTTCCTCGAAGGTAGGTAGGATCTTCCAGTACTCCCAGACCTTTTTTGCGGGCCAGCGCCGAATTTCTCCTTCATAGCTCCGGGTGGTCCCCTGAAGGCCAAGGCCCCTACGCATAGCCAACATCAACACACGGTCCGACTGCTCACAGAAAGACGAGTCCACGACGCGAGCCTCCATGCCCGAGAGGAGGGCCGCCTGAACGAAAGAGATGATCGCCATACGCTTGATGGGACGAGCGGCTGGCCTGACCAGGAAGCACGAGATGAGCCCCAGACCGTTTTTTCCCGCCAGAGTTCGCTTCGACTTCTCGACGGCCAGGGACCCCGTGGAAGTGAGCCAGCCTCCCAGGATCCTGATATGACGACCTCGGATCCCTGAAGTTTTTAAAACACCGCTGTGCCACAGGCGTCGTTGACCTATGCAGCCTCGACCGACGATGCGAGCAAGAGTGACCCGCTTCTCAGGGTTCAACGTGATACCTATCTCGGAGAGGGCCTCACTCAAATTGTTGCTACTCGACTCCGCCAGCGCCGCCAAGGGTGCCGCCTCGCTGCCGTTCGAGAAAGGTTCGGGTCCCCACCCTGGAATAATCATCTTCGTAATGTCATCTGCGAAAATCGTTAAGCCTACATCGGAGGAAGTGCCGTCTATCTCGATGGCCTCTGCATACTGCCGAGAAGAAGTCCGAGAGCGATGATCGTGAAAACGGGCGAGACCGAGTTCGTAGTAATAGGGGAAGGCGCGGGCGGGATTGGGGTGTCCCATCATTTCGCCTGTTGCAGGCCGAAGAGTAATCACCTCCGAGTTGGATTCAATCTGGAGGGCCCCCTGAACTGCACGACGGTGTTCGAATACGATATCTTCCTGTCGATACAAGGACGGGAGGGACTCAATGATAGTTTTTCGGTCAGTGCTCGCAAAAGCGTTCGAGGCGTCCTCGTTCACGATCGCGTGAGACAAGCCCTCCTGCTCGAGGCGCCACGATGCACATGCTTGAACGGCAATAGCGTCCTCGCGGCGGCGCCTCGGCACGAACCCGTGGCAATGGTATGGGAGACGCTCACGTACCTGTCTGCCCCGCTGCCACAGCCAAGAGTGCCATGCCTTGCCCATCGGGCAGAACAAGTGAATCCATCGCTGTCCCGCGGCCCCAAGCTTTCCGTTTCGTTTGTCCAATCCGATGCAGGAAGAGATGTCGTAGAGTAGTGGTGATTGGCGAGCTCGCCGAAACGTAGCGATGATGTCCGTCATGCGCTCGAGGAAAGCGGTAGCCGTCGAAGGGCGCGAGCTGGCCCCCACTCCACCTGTGGTGAAGGTCTCCCACACCGCCTCATCCAGAAGTAGTAGCCATAATTCAGACGGCATTGACCAGTGGGGGCATGCCCGACGTTTTGGGGAAGATCTCAGCACTTGTATCATGCCCTGTAGATCCTCCTGTGCCTGTTCCAGGTAGATGGCCTGCAAGATATTATATCTCATCTCTTCGGATCTGGCAAAATCTTCCTCGTCCTCGAAATATGTTCTGTCGAACCGTTCTACCAACTCCGCTTGTAAATCACAAGGAACTCCGCCCATACCACCAGCCGCTGCGGGTAGTTGAAGAAAAGAACTTATCTGCTCGGCTTCGCATTGCTCCATTTTGCATACAAAGTAACGCCGCTGGCGAGGACCACGTCCTCGTCGAGACAGACGGCGTATCAGTCTCTGGACTGTATTGTGGTCATGGGCGGACCAAGCTTCGTTCAACTCCTGGACTATCGCCGCCGTCTTGTCCTTCGTGATCTGCTTGGACAAGGAGCGGATTCTGAATGTAAGCCTTGCTAATTCCAATTCCGTGTCCTGCCAGGAGGCTGTCTCGCGCCCTGTAAGTGTGCCTTTCAATAGTTTTCGCCGTTCCAAGGTGCGAGAGCGCTGGTGTTCGAGGTCAGACTTGAGCTCCTCGGCCGGTGTTGGCTTGCTGATAAGATCCTTCGCCTTGTTAACTAGAAGCGTGGCCGTGGTGTTCCATAACTCGTCCGTCGTGGGCCTTGTGCACATGCGAATCCATTCCTCATCGGGTATCGTCGTCAGTTCGCTCTGGATGTCCTCGATAAGTTGTGTGCACTGCTGGCCTCTTCGGGCCGACGCCATGATTCGGTCAAAATCCCAGCCTGGAGCTGAACCCATCTGCGATTGAAAACAATATGCGAATTCCACGTAGACTGGTCGATGATCTCGATCGTCTAATGTTTGAATGGGTTGTAGCCTTCGAGGAGGAGGAGGATGGAGGAGGGGGAGGAGGGGGAGGAGGAGGAGGAGGAGGAGGAGGAGGAGGAGGAGGAGGAGGAGGAGGGGGAGGAGAAGGACCACCGTCTACCCTGTCTACCGCCTCTGGTCCACGACCCAAGCACGGTGGCAGCATGGGCCGAAAGCAGCTGGACACACGGCAATACTGCTGCGCGCCGGTCCCTTCCTCGCTCTTTCGTCCCGTCTTCTCCCTGATGCGCCTCCTCCTCCCCGCCATCCTCCTCCCCGTCCACACAGTCCCCCCTCCTCACCATCCTCCTCTACGCACCCGCATGTCCCTCCTCCTCCCCCTCCTCGCCCTCCTTCTCCCCGAACCCTGCCCATACTCCAACGTACTGCTCGTCATCCTCATCCTGATCAACCTCCTATGACCCTCCTCCTTCTCCCTGTTCTCGTCCTCAAGGGTCTCCTCCTCCACAACTGTGCCAACACCCGTCCCCTCACTTGTACCAACCCACCATAAGAGCGGACGGGCCCGTGCTGCCGACCCTCCGCCTCACAGCATCGAACTCATCCTCCTCGGCATCCTCCACCTCCTTCTCCCCTGGCACTTTTCGACGCCTTTCGCACCACATGCGCATCCGAGCCGCCGCACAGATAGCAATCAACGTCCAGGAACAGAGTAGACGAACTGGCCCGCAAGCTGCGCTTGTGGATCATCAAGCTACCGTCACGCCAACCCATCCTGTCAGCTTGCGAAAATCCTCCTCCTCCTCCTCCTCCTCCTCCTCCTCCTCCTCCTCCTCATCCTCCTCCTCCTCCCCTCTGGGTGAGGCGGGGGATCCCAGGGCAACTAAAGACGCCTAGGGGTTCGCATAACACAGACACTTTCGGAGGCCCGCGCGGACGTATCAACCCGGGCTGCTGCGCCCCTCCGTGCCTCTTCCCTCCACCCCCCTCCCCACGCGGCAAGCTCCTGCGCGACTGCCCATGCGCGCGTGAGGCTGGGCTGGACCCCGAAGGCCCCGGGTGCGAGGTTGGAGCTTCTCCAGGAGTGCCGCCGGGGTGGTCGATCCTCGAGGCCCTCGGCAGGCGGTGGATACGTATGGTACTTGCCCACACCTCGGGGCTCGCGCATCAATCATCACACGCCCATCGACCATGCGCACGCGAACCAGAATCCATGGCGGGCGCGCGCACGTGAGCGGTAGAAGGAGGGCGACGACGACAACGACGACGACGACGACGAGGAGGAGGCAGACGAGGCGGAGAGCAGAAGGATGTGGAAGGACGGCGGGGATGACGTGGACGACCACCCTTTGCCTGGGATTCCTGATCGTCTCTCTCCGAAGAGCACCGGAGCCGGAGCCACATCGCGTGAACACACAACGTCCAGGGGCTCTCTTCGCGACGGGGGGTCCAGGGCGGGCCCTCTCGCTGCTCGTGTGGCGGGCTCCGAAGACCTCGGACCCCAAACGGCCGCCATATCTTGGGAGGCAGACGTCTGCTTCCGCCAGGGCTCCCACGGCAAGGGCTCCTCCTCCTCCCCCCCGAGAGGGAACTCCGAGCCCCTCCCCAACGAGAATGGCTCCCTCTTCCTCGCCATCGCTCGGACGTCCATTCCCTGTTTTTTTTGGTTTTGTGCGTGTTTTTTTCGCCAGATGATCAGGGATGCTCCTCAATGGTCCTCACCGGGGGAAACATGCACACGTCCGAGCGATGCCAAGCTTCAGCGCCCCGACGAGATGCTCCCAGCCGTCTTTCACACACTTCTGGCGCTGGCCTCGCCGAGCCGAGCGCGCGCGCATCCCGGCAGAGCGCTGCCGAGAGACTATAGGGCGAGAACGGTGGAGTGCCGCGGCTGCCTCGTGGTGCGCCCCGGGAACTCGAGGGTACCTGGCGGCCCTCGTGCCTGGAGGCCGGGCGGAGCAGGTGGGAATCTGGAAGATGTGGATCGCATCCCGGCTCGTACCTCCTCCTCCCCCTCCGCCTCCTCCTTCCTCCTCCTCCTCCGCCTGCTCCCTCCTCCTCTTCCTTCCTCCTTCTCCTTCCTCCCTTCCTCCCTTCCTCCCTTCCTCCTCCTCATGACTTCTTGCTGCTCTGACTTGTGGCCAGACGTCGCCCGCGGGGGGGGGGGCTCGCCGCAAAGTCCTGGTGCGACGCGAGAGCACGAGGCTCGGAGGAGGTGAAGAGGGGTGGGTAGCCCAAGGGCCGGCAGTACACGCGTTCGCCAGCGAGCCCCGTCCGAAGGCCTTGACGATCGGAGCCCTCTGAATGCATGGCAGTGTTCCCCCCTGTTCGGCGCTCCCATGCCATCTGGCTGGCTCTTGCGAATCGACGCTGCCCGACGGAAGTCGACGCTGGGCGACGCCAGATCGAGGCCTGTCGACGCGAAATCGGTGCCTCTGCATCGACTGCCAAACGCCAGGCGACGCTACTGCACTCGAAAGGCGGACTCGCCAGGACGTGCGAGTCTCCCATACTGAGCGAACGAACGCATGGGCTGGCCGCCGCCGCTGCAGCCGCCGAGAAAGACGGACCAGCGTTAGGTCGGACATGTCCCCCTACAGGCGGATTTTGTACGACAGGACAAATCGAACATGCTCCAACAAATCTCAAAACACAAAAAAAAAAAAAAAAGAAAAAAAAAAATCGCCCCCAGACTATGTTTTGACTATGTTTGAATCTTCCTCCTGTAGAGGGATATGCCCGCCTTAAGACGGGCGCCGAGAGTCCACACTGCCCGGGGCCGCGGGTTCGCCTGCCAGGCCAGCAGCGGGACGCTCGCGGGGTCGCTCCACTGGCTGCCTGCCGAGGAGCGCAGGCTGAGGAGGAGGGGTGGGGAGGAGGGGTGGGGAGGAGGAGCAGCAGCAGGGGATGAGGAGCAGGAGAGGAGGAGGAGGAGGAGGAGGAGGAGGAGGAGGAGGAGGAGGAGGTGGAGGAGGAGAAGGAGGAGGTGGAGGAGGAGGAGGAGGAGGAGAACGAGGAGGAGGAGGAGATGAAGGAGGAGGCGGAGGAGGAGGAGGAAGAGGAGGAGGAGGAGGAGGGGGAGGAGGAGCCCAGCGTATCAAAGGAGGAGGAAGAAGAGCCTGCACGGGCAGGGGAGGAGGATCAGGTGGAGGAGGAACCGCAGGAGGCAAAAACCGGGCGCGGAGGGGGGGACTACGGCACTGACTGACCGACAGGCGACCACAACAGGACGCTGAAGGAAGATGAGCAGCCCTCTGTGGTTCCGAAGGCTCCCTGAACCTTCTTTTAGATACAAAAATACCCTGCCCCTTCTCTGCCTTTTCCCTGGGCGTGCGGCGCACCGCCGCCGAGAGAAGCCAAACGGGATGTGAAGGGGAAGCTCGCACGGCACAGGAACAACGGGCCTCTCCTGGCTCGCCCTTCGCGGTGCACAACGACGAAGGCGGGATGACGCCCGGCGCCGACTGCTCGGCCGCCTCCCTCTGGGCACAGCGAACCACGTCAAACACATCTCACGTGCTGTTCAGTAGGTCGGAGATGGCTGATGGCTGTCCGTTTTTTTTTTTTTTTTTTTTTTTTTTTTTTTTTTTTTTTTTTTTTTTTTTTTTTTTTTTTTTTTTTTTTTTTTTTTTTTATATATAAAAAAAACATATATATATATATATATATACAACTACATAAACAGACGCAAATGAGTGTACATATCTATATATATATACATATGCGCATGTATTCACATGCACATTTATAGACACGAATGTTCCCCACTATACATATGCGTACATTTACACATACGCATGCGTCTATGCAACTTCACACGCAACCACCAGCGTGGACCCCGAACACTGGTGACTTCAAACCTAGCCATTACAAACCACGTGGTGCATTCAACATAAAATCAGCTCGTGATTAACACATCCGTGGGTGGCGTGCGACTAATAAGGAAATGCCCCTGCTCGGGCGAATCGCGGGGGGGGGGGGGGGCGCCTGCCAAATTGAAACGCACCGCGGCGGCGATGATGATTAGCTCCAATATCAAGTCGACAAAAAGGAAGGCGAGAGACGCCAAGCAAGCGGCGCCGCTTCAGCGGAAGGGGGCAGCAACGCCTCCAATATAGCCGGTCGGGCGACAGGAAAGACAAAGGAGGCGGGGTAAAGAATCGCCTCGGCTGGCGGGCGTGCCACCATGGCTAGAAACAAAAGGAGTTAAAGAGGGGGAGCAGCGGAACCGGCAGGCGGAAAAAACTCCTCTTTCTCCTTGCCCACCCCCACGCCCATCCACTACAACGCCCTACGACGACGACGACGACGACGACGACGACGACGACGGCGACGGCGACGGCGACGGCGACGGCGACGGCGACGGCGACGGCGGACGATGACGCGCTGCGGATGCTGCAGCGGGTGCTTCATGGGCGGGGGAGGGGACGATGGTGACGCGTATGATCACTGCAGCCGTCAACGACGACGACGAGAACGACAACGACGATGACGATGGCGACCATGACGACAACGCACAGCGGATGCCTCAACAAGGGGGTGCTGCTGTCGCCGTCGACTACAGCGACGACGGCGACGGCGACGACGACGCATTGCGGATGCCCTACTGGGGGGGTGCTGCCAAACTACTTGCCCACCCGCCGGCGAGCCGTCTAGCTCACTCCCAATCACCCCCCCCCAACACATAAGTAACACCTGCACCTGAGCATGTTCAGCGGTAGTCCTTGGATGGACATCTGCTGGGAAACAAAGCCTGAACGACGCTTGGGCGAGGTGCGCGACGCTTGGGCGAGGTGCGCTACGCGTGCCAGAAGCGCCACGCGCGCGAGGCACCCCCGTGGGGCCCGAGCGTGCCAGGCACGTCTGGTGCGCCATATGCGCCACGTACTCCGACCGCGCCGAGTGTGCCGCACACTCCAACCGTGCCAAGTGCCCCACGTTCGGGGCACGTGCAGAGTGCGCCAGGTGCGCGTGCGCACGTGACAGCACACATCGCGAAACATGTCGACCCTCGCCTTCCTTGTCGAACAACAAATGCTCATCATTGTGTCTGGTGGACCTGCGCACAGCGAGCCACGCGCCACCACCCCCGCCGCCCCTGTCAAAGACCACTTGACAGTGATCGCAGGATGGCCGCGCACGATCCAGATTTAGCCGCGAGGTGCATGTTGTATTGATTATTTCGCTCAGGAATGATAGCCCTGCGTACGACAGGGAATATGCTGGCATCCCCGCCGTCCCTGTCAAAAGCAATACAACGTGCCAGCGGGCCTCACGCACATGACCCAAGACTTTGCCCCAAAAAGTAATTTGCATTGTTGTTTGACAGGGGTGGTGGTTAGGACCGCATTGGGCTGGCCGCGCACGCTCCGAATGTGGAGGCGACATGCGTCTTGCATCGTTTTTGTTAAAGGGCGCCGCCGGCCTGGTGGGGGATGGGGTGTCTATTTATGGGGAACAAAAACGTAAGCCCGCTGTAGTCGTCGACGACGACGACGATTAGGCCGGGTGGCGACGACGACGATGACGACGACGACGACGGCGACGACGACGACGACGTCGGCGACGACGTTGACGACGACGGATGCCTGATCAAGGGGACGGGGGGGTGCTGCGCAGGCCCGCTGTAGTGGCTGTAGCTGACGACGTAGTCGACGACGACGACGTCGACGACAATGATGATCACGAAAGCGGCGAAAACGACGACGAGGTGGCGACAACGACGCACTGCTGCGGATGCCGCAAGGGGGGTGGCGGGGAGCTGCGTAGGCCCGCTGTAGTCGACGACGGCGTCCACGACGACGACGACGACGGCGACGACGACAACGACAACGACGACGACGGCGACGCCTGGGAGGGGGAAACAAATTCGCCTCGGATGCATACAAACCCTATAATATATGTTATGCGACAGGCAATCTTTTTGAGGCTGTCATGCGGGGGGGACCCGATCCCTCGGCGACGCCCGCGGCGACCCCCTGGAGAGCGTGATTTCAAACAAGTTTCGCGGCCCGCGGGGTCGAGTCATCAGCGCCCGGGGGGGATCATTTGTTAAACACGAGCTGACACTAGTGCAATCTATTTGGCGCACTTGATTTGTATAAGTGAGTGGACAAAGCCCATGCTCTCACCCACCCGCAGCTTGGTTTGCAAAACCCATGCGGCTGCGATTGCGATGAGTGCTTGGCGTTGGCTGGTGCATCTCTGCGGCCGCGCTAGCCCGCGCATGCTCACGCGCACAACGGCCAGCTAGTTTGGCGCGACCGACGCGGCCGCGATGGCGCTGCCTGCTGGGTACTTCCCAGCGGGCGCTTCAGTTCGTCTGGGCACGGTATACTGGCGACGCCGACAACGGCAGGCGCGATTCTGAGAGTAGCGATGGTGACGAAGGTGGCGATGACAACGACAAAGCCAATGACGGGGCCGATGCTGATCACGCGCGCCGATAACGATCACTCTGTCCGCACGTCGGCGATGAAGGTTTTTGGCGGAAATCGCCATCCGCACGCGGCCGACGCGCGCGGTTGGGCCGCGTCGTATTGCTTGACACGGATCGTGCCCCCCCCCCCCCCGGCACGCGCGCAAAGGCGTCCGAATGAAGTTGGCATGCGGCGCGGGAGGCCCGTTAGGCATAAATTGATGAACATGGTAGAAACCGATGGCTTTCGAGAAACAGATGTTGCAACACGAGTTTCGAGTGCGCGGCCGACGCCCGCGAGAGGCCAACATTGTATCGTTTGGCAAGGACCGTGTCCCCCCCGGCAACCGCGCAAGGACGTTCGAACACATCCAACACACGCGCACGCCAGGACCGCGGGGTCTGCTTCGAAAAAATGGTTGGGGCACCTGTGGCGTTCGTGAGAATTGACAAGGACGCACGGGTACATGTGTTGTGCTGCTGCATTTGAAAGGCATTATGTGTTTCACTCGGTGTCAGGAACATCGATCTCGAAATCCGTACGTAGACTAAGGATGGGAACAGATTTCGACATACGCGCGCGATGCGCGCGCGACGACGCGCCCGTGGACTTCGTGACATGTTCTCTGTGGTGTACGAGTGTGGGCGCATAGTGTTCCTTGACAAGGATGAGGGTGGTGGTTGAACAAGGTGCCCCCCTGGATGTTATGAGTTCACATGCAAAATTAACGATGACACATAATAGATTGTGCACTGTACGGTCCCAACCCATACCGATACACCCGAGGGTGCAGGGTCGATTTCTTGCAAGGAAGATGGGGCCAACGCACGGCAATGTCATGCCATGAAAGATATCGCAAAGCAAAGCAGTTCAAAGCAATGCAAAATATGCAAGGCCATGTAATCAACGCAAATGCAAAGCAACGCAACACAACACAACGCAATGCCCAGCAATGCAAAGCGATAGCACAGGAAGGCAATGCAAAGCAATCAACGCAACGCGACGCAATCCCACGCGACGCAACACAACAACACAACGTAATGCAACATACTGCAAACCAGAGCAAAGCAATGCAATGCAATGCGAAACAATGCAAAGCGAAGCAATGCAAAGCAATGCAAATCAATGTAACTTAAAGCGGCGCAATGCACGGCACTGCAAACCAAATTAATAGAGTGCATTGTAATGAGACGCGAAGCGATGCTGATCAGTTCAACGCAGTGCGAACGCAACGCAATGCGAGTGCAGAGTAGTGCATGACAGTGCAGCACAATGCGCCCTGAGCCCCCTGAGCCTCGCTGAGTCAAAATAATTGAGGACGCATTTCGCCATCGAGGCGGAGCGTTGCCAACTTCACCCCGGACGTGAGGCGCTGCCACCCTCGGCTCACGCAGATCGCCAAAGGCACGGAAAGCTCGGACATGTACTACAATCTTCAAGGGGCCTCAGGACACATAAATAAATACACACAAATAACAGGATCCCCCATGTGTTACCGTATGTTCTGGGTTTTGGTCTTCCCCCCACTTCCCATATTTTTTGGGGAATCGACAAACTCAAGACAAATTACACAAGACGGGCACATAGACCTTAGACCTTTGTCTTCTGCCCCATGTTAGGGAGAAGAATTGAAGCCAGCAGATGACGAGCCCCACAGGTGGGGGGGGAAACAGTTGACAGGCCGGCCCCGGAGGCCAACAAGCGACAACCCCGGGGGAGGGGAATAACGGGTGACAGGCCAGCCCAGGGGAATCTGCTGCATTGTGCTGGGGCGTGCGTGTGTGACAATACAAACCACTCGATGAGCAAAATTGCACATATATATATACATGATACGCACGTGATGTATATCCAACGCCGTCCACCGAACAACGAGGTGGAGTGTCCGGCGGTCCCTTCCCTCATTTATGTTTGAGACTTGAGAATGCTCTCTCTAAGGGGCTCAGTGCACAACATTTCACACTTCCTGCGGCCAACTACAAGACTTTTGGGGCTGGTCGCGTGGCACTTGCGGCCCGTCGCACAGCTTTCCAAGAGGCCGGCCCAAGAGGATCCTCAAGGGTCGGGGGCGTCCAGGGGGGGGGGAGCTCTCGAATCATGGCCCGAGGCATGTGCGCGGAAGAGGGAGGGGGCATAAAAACGCATTGAAAGAAGAAAGGGGGCCCATGAGATCTGAGGAAATATCATGTCCCTGGCCAAGAACCACATGAGGATTAGGAAAGCCTCCTCGTCCGCACTCTCTGCGGCTCCTCCAATCTCTGGACCCCTCCGCCTGCTGCTGTACTGCGAGGGAAGAGAGAGAGGGAAGGAGGCAAGACGAAGGCGACGACTGGAAAAAACATGTGGAGAGGGAGGCGGGAAGGGAAGGGGAGGGGTGAAGGAGAAGGCGGACGCACGGCGCTGTAGATTCGAGGATCCAGCAACACAGGACGACTGATAAAAATGATTGACGACATTTGCATGTGCAGGCTGACGTCCGTCGTTTCCATACACCACATGCGACCCTCTCCTCTCTCGTCTCTGCTTCGCCTAGCGATCATGGCTCTGCTCCGAATTCCCCTAAACGCATCTGCAGAGCAACACCGAAGAAGCAACACGTATACAACTATACTCAGATACTGGGAGGGAGAGCGACAGAAATGGATATGAAACGGGCAAGAGAAAGAGAGAGAGAGAGGCAGAACGACTGAGTGAGAGAGAGGGAGACGCAAATTAGATGTCTGTGGGAGAGTGAGAGAGAAACAAAGAAACATAAAAAGGGAAGTCATGGCAGAGAGGGAGAGTGAGAGAGACAGCAGAAGAGCAGATCCTGGCCTTCTTCGCCGGCTGGTTCCGGGTCCGCTTGAATAATCCGCTCAAACTCGCTGTGGTCGCGCACGTCCTCGCGGGCAGCGGCTGCCCAGGCGGAGCAGCCCACCGAGACCGCGAGGATTGTCCCAGAGGAGCCGCGAGGCCCGCCGTGGAGCGCCGACGGTGTGGGCTGGACGGACACTCTCCTGCCTCCTGGCTCCTCCCTCCTGCCTCCTCCTCCTCCTCCCTCCCTCCTCCCTCCTACCTCCTCCTCCCCCTCCATTCTGCCTCCTCCCTCCTCCCTCCTCCCCCGCTTCCCCATCCCGCCTCCCTCCTCCTTGTCCCTCCGCCTCCCTCCTCACTCCTCCCTCCTGCCAGCTACACCGTCCCATCTCCCTCCTCCCTTCTCCCTCCTCCTCTCTCCTCCCTCCTCTCTCCTCCCTCCTCCTCCCTTCACCTCCCTCCCCCTCCTCCCTCCTCCTCCAGCCGCCTGCCTCCTCCTCCTTCCCCCTCGCTCCTCCCCCCTCCAGTCTCCTCCCTCCTCCTCCCTCCTCCTCCTCCCTCCTCCCTTCTCCCTCCATCCTCCTCCCTGGCCCCTCATCCCTCGTCCCTCCTCCCTCCTCGCTCTTGCCTTCTCTCGTCTCCCGTCCCTCTCCTCATCATCCCTCCTCTCTCATCCTCCCACCTCCCTCCTCCGCCTCCTCCTTCCCCCCTCCTCCACCCTCATCATTCCTCCTCTCGATTCCCTCCTTCAATCCCTCCTCCTCCCTTCCCCTTCCCCCTCGTACATTCCTTCTTCCTCCTCCCATCTTCTCCCTCGCCCTCCCTCCTCCGCCTCCCTCCTTCTCCTCCCCCCCTCATGCCTCCTCATCCTTCTCCCTCCTCCTCCTTCCCTCTCCTTCTGCCTCCTCCCTCCTCCATCCAGCCTCCTCCCTCCACACTCATCCCTCTCTTCCCTCCCTCCTCCCGTCGCTCTCCTCGTCCTCCCTCCTCTCTCGTCCTCTCGCCTTCCCCATCGGTCATCCTCTCTCTCCTCTCTCCTCCTCCACCTACTCCTCCTCCTCCTTCTCCTCCTATTCATCCTCCTCCTCCTCCTAGTCCTCGTCCTCCCTCCTCCTCTCCTCTCCTCCTCCTCCTCCTCATCCTCCGCCTCCTCCTCCTCCTCCTCCTCCTCTCTCCTCCTCCTCTCCTCCTCCTCCTCCTCCCCCCCTCTCTCTCCTCCTCCCCCTCCCCCCCTCCCCCTCGTCCTCCCCCCTCGTCCTCCCCCTCCTCCTCCTCCAGCCCCTCCCCCCTCCCCGCCCCTCACCCTCCATATCCCCCTCCTCCTCCTCCTCCTCCTCCTCCTCCTCCTCCTCCTCCTTTTCCTCCCCCTCCTCCTTCTCCTCCTCTCGCCTCCTCATATTCCCTCCTCCTCCTCCCCCATCCTCCCCCCTCCCTCATTCCTCATCCCTCCTCCCTCCTCCTCCTCCTGCTCCCCCTCCTCATCAGCATCATCAGCAGCATCAGCATCATCATCAGCATCAGCATCATCAGCATCATCATCATCATCATCATCAGCATCATCAGCATCATCATCATCATCAGCATCATCATCACCAGCATCAGCAACGTCATAAGCATCCCGAACAGCATTATCACCATCAGGCTCAACAGCATCATTACCCTCACCAGCATCAACATATCGTCATCAACACCATACTCATACTCGTGGTCCGCATCACCATCATCATCAACACCCGTATCATCATCAGCATCAGCATCAGCATCATCATCAGCATCCTCATCAACAGCATCACCGTCATCATCGTCGTCATCATCATCATCATCATCACCATCCCCATCACCATCATCATCATCAGCAGCATCAGCATCATCAGCATCCTCATCAGCATCATCATCATCATCATCATCATCATCATCATCAGCATCATCATCATCAGCAGCAGCAGCAGCAGCAGCATCAGCATCAGCATCAGCGTTGTCGCCATCCCCCTCCGCCTTCTTCATCTCCGCCTCCTCCTCCTCCCCCTCCTCCTCCTCTGTTTCCTCCTCCCCCTACGCCTCCCCTGTCCCTCCTCCCTCTACATCGCTTCCTCCCTTCTCCATCATCCCTTCGCACTCCGCCGTCCGCCTCGCCCCTCCCTGCTCCCGCATCCCGTATATCCGCATCAACCTTCTCCCTCCGTCCTTCCCCCTCCTCCCTCCTCCTTCCTGATCCCTCCTCCCGTCCCTTCCCTTCTGTATCCCAACTCTTCCTTCCTCACTTCTCCCTTCTCCCTCCTGCTCCCTTCTCCTCCTTCCTCCTCCCTCCTCCCCCTTCATCCTCTTCCCTCTCTGATCCTCACTCTTCATGTCTCCCTCCATCATCCACCCGCTCCCCTCGTCCGTCGCCTCTCATCCCTCCTCCCTCCTCAATCCTCCTCCCTCCTCCTCCCTCCTCCTTGCACCTCCTCCCTCATCTAGTATCCCTCCTTTAGTTTCTCTCCACCCTCCTCCTCACTCAACCCTTCTGCGTCCTCCCTGCTCAATCCTCCCTCCTCCATCAGAATTATCCCTCCTCCTCCTCCTGCCTCCTCATCTCTCCTCCCCCCTCACCCCTCCCTCCTCCTGATGTCCCTCCTCCTCCTCCTCCCTCCCCCCCTCACCCCTCCCTCTTCCTCCCTACTCCCTTCGTCCTTCTCCAGTCTCCCCCTCTCCTCCTCCTCGCTCCCTCCTTCCCCTTCCTGCCTCCTCTCTCCTCGCTCCTCACTGCTCCATCCTCCCTTCTCCATGCTCCACCTCCCTCCTTCCTTCTCCTCCCTCCTCATGCTTCCCTCATCCATCCTCCCTTCTGCATCCTCCCTTCTCCCTCATCATCGATCCCTCCTCCCTTCTCCGCCCTCCTTCCTCCTGGCCTCTCCCGTCTCCTTCGTCCTACCTTCTCCTCCATACGTCCACATCCCTTATCCCATCTCATCCCTCCTCCCTCCATCTCACCCCTCTCTGCCCGCTCCTCCTCTTCCTCCCTGGTTCCTCCTCCCCATCCCTCGTCCCCCCTCCCTCCTCCCAATCCACCTCCGACCGCGCTCCCTCCTCCCATCTCCCTCGTCCCTCCTCCCACCTCCATCCTCCATTCTCCCGTCTCCCTTCGCCCTCTTCCCACCCCCTCTCTCATCCCTTCTCCATCCTCCGAATCCGTCCTTCCTCCTCCTTCCTCATCCTCCTGCCGCCTGCCCCCCTCCTCACCCATCCCGCCTTCCTTTTCCTTTGGTCATCCTCCCATCTACATCCTCAATCTGGCCTTCTCCTCGTTTTTCCCTCACTTTACATCCCCTCTCCCTCATTCCTCGTTCCTTCTCCCTGCTCATTCCCTCTCCCTCCCGTATCCCTCCTTCCTCCTCCTCCTCCTCCTCCTCCTCCTCCAGGTCCTCCCCCTACCTCCTCCTGCATCCTCCGTCCGCCCTCATCATCTCTTCCACCCCCTCATCCTCTTCCCTACTCCGGACCCCCTTCCTTCCTCCTCCCTCCCCCTCACATCTCCCCACCCTCCAACCCCCTCGGCCGTCCTCCTTCCCCCTCCCCTCTCTCTTCACCTCCTCCTCCTGCTCCTCCTCCACATCCACCTGCTCCTCCTCCTCCTCATCATCATCCTCATCCTCATCGTAATCCTCCTCCTCATCCTCCTCCTCCTCATCATCATCATCAGCATGAACATCACCAGCATCATCATCATCATCATCATCATCATCATCATCATCATCATCACCATCATCATCATCATCATCATCACCATCATCATCATCAGCATCAGCATCACCACCATCAGCATCATCATCATCGTCATCATCATCATCATCATCATCATCATCATCATCATCACCATCATCATCATCATCAGTAACATCAGTATCATTCGTATCAACAGTACCATCATCAGCAGCATCATCAGCAGCATCACCCTCAGGATCAGCATCATAATAATCATGATCATCCTCAGCATCAGTGTCACCATCAGCATCATCGTCATCATAAGCATAAGCATAAGCATCAGCATCAGCATCAGCATCAGCATCACCATCATCATCATCATCATCAGCATCAGCATCAGCATCATCATCATCATCATCATCATCATCATCATCATCATCATCATCATCATCATCATCATCATCATCATCACAGTCATCATCATCGTCATCATCATCATCGTCATCATCAGCACCATAAGCATCATCATCATCCTCATCATCATCATAGCCATCATTATCATCATCATCATCATCATCATAGATATAAACGCCCTCATCAACATCAGCATCATCATAATCATCAGCACCATCATCATCCTCCCTCCCTCCTGCCTCCTCCTGCCTCCCACCTCTATCCTGCCTTCGCACTCGACCGGCATCCATTAACCCGTCTCTCTGCTACTCCCTCCTACCTGTTCCTTCTTCCCTCCTTCCTCCTCGTTCCTCCTCCCGTGCCTCCCCGTCCTCCTCCCTCCTCCCTCCTCCTTCTGCCTGTTTTCTCCTGCCTCCTCCCTCCTTCGCCTCCCTCCTCCCTTTTCCCTCCCCCATCCTCCTCCATCTCCTCATCATCATCATCCTTCTTCCCTCCTCCCTCTTCCTCCCGCGACCTCCCCCATCCTCACTCCTCGTCACCCTGCCTCCTCCTACTCCTTCTTCCTCCCTTTTCCTCCCTATTCCCTCCTTCTTCCTCCCACCTGCCTCCTCATCGACACTCCTCCTCCGCCCTCCTCTTCCCTCCTCGTTCCTCCTCCTTCTCCTCCTCCTTCCTCCGCCTCCTCGTTATCGTCGTCGTCCTCCTTCTCAATCCGCACATGCTCGCTTGCCGCCCGTGAAGCCAACAGGGGGAACAACACACGGCGGAAGCCAACGCTCTCGGAGGTCCGCGCGGATCTCCTTTGATTTAGATTGACACTCAAGTTATCGTCCGGACAAAAAGCCCTGCACGTGGCCGACGCGCGACGGAAGTGCCCGATGGGCGCCGAAAAGGAAACGAAGGACGGGCCCAGGAACCACAAACAACACGAGCCGCGCGGTCGGGGATCTTCTGACCCAGGTCAATGCAGACCTGGGCCAGCCAAGTCTTCCAGAATCCTGAAAGATCCTGCGCCCAAGCCCGGGAAAATGCGAAGGATCCTGCAGGACCCTGCGCCCAAATCCGGGCCCATGCGACCCAGGCCCTGCAGGACCCCGCAAGATCGGGTGCTCTTGCTGATCCCCGTTAGCATTGACCCCCGTCTCTTAAGCTCCGACGCTGGACTGTCCTGGCGGCGCCAGGGCCGCGCTTTGCGCGTCAGGGAGGGGGCCGATCGAAGAAATCTGCGCGGGCCTCCGAGAATGTACTGGCCATCGCTCGGAAGTCCATTCCCCATGCATTTGTCGATGTCTTGCGCGTGTGCTTTCGCAAGATGACCAAACATGCTCCTCGAGGGTGCGCGACGGGAAACAAAAACACACGTCGGAACGATGCCCATGGAATGGGGGGGGGCATCGACCTGCAATCGGCGAAGCATCGCCGACAGACCAGCGGCAGACCCCTGACAGCGAAACTGCACGTTCTGGGCGGGGCGGGCTATCGGGCCCCCATCGGCGATCAACGGGCGAGTGGGGACCAACGTGCCCCCCCCGTGGGCGCATCCCATCCTGCTCGTCCTCCTCGCCTAAAACCCTGGCCGCGTACAGCGCAGCTGCTGCGAACGCCAGAGGTGTACGAACCCCCTTTTGCTTGCAAAGCCCCACCCCGCCCGAGCGCACACGCACGAGGGCGCCGTGCCGAGCCCGAAGACAGAGCGGCCCAACAGGACACCGTAGGATCATGCTCTTGACGAGCGGGCAGCAGGCGCCCCGCGCAGCTGCAGACGCCCGGGAAGGCGCCGGTCAGTCAGGCACCTTGGGGAACTGCGCAATACGCCGCGCCGCCAGCGCCGCGAATTCGGACACGGTGCCCCCGGCGCAGCGCACGTCGTGCAGCAGGAGCAGGGCCTGCCCCCGCGCCCGCATCCGCTCCCTCCACCCTGGGCGTGCAATCCCGATCATCTCTGCCGGCGTCGCAGCACTGGCGCCGCACCGTAGGACCATGCACTGTCGCTGACATCCTGGCCCTCACAGATCGGGGCGGTTCGACAATGTCAGCCGGAGGAAGAGGAGGAGGAGGAGGAGGAGGAGGAGGAGGAGGAGGAGGAGGAGGAGGAGGAGGAGGAGGAGGAGGAGGAGGCGGAGGAGGAGGAGGAGAGAATGTCAGAGTAACATGCTCTCTCGTGAGGGGTCCAGGGCTCCGATCTTGATGCTTCACGATGCCGCACGTGTTTTGCCGCAGCTCGGATCTCCCAGGGTGCCCGAGATATTGGAGTGCGCACGCCTCCCCCCGCAGGAACGCCGGCAGAACTGCTCGAGACGGGGTGCCACATGGCGGGGAGGGGGCACAAGGGAGGTGGGCAGGGGGTGAACTCAGGAGCAATGCGTGGGCGATGCCGGAAACCCTGAAACCCAAAAACGCTCTCATCTGTCTGGGGGCGCATGTTTTACTTTCGCCGAGCTTCAGCCCAGCTTCCGCCGGCGGAGGCGGTCTCATTTTACTCCCGCCGACCTTCCGCAGCCTTCCGCGGAGGAACAAATGACAACTCCTTCTATCCTCGAAGGCGAGGCCCGTCTTGGAACGCCCCACGGGGTGACGGCGATGCAACTGCACCTCTCGCAAACTACGACGCACCGTGCGCATGCTGGGTACGACACCTACTGGCATCCCTGGCCCGAGAGAGGGGACACGGTGTGGGCTGCGAGTGCACGGTGGGAGAGCAGATTCTGCTGCTCACATCCTGTCACATGGATGGACCTAAACAGTGGTTTTCGTTGTCGTTCCCCTTCGTCGTGTCTTCTATCCGCCTTTGCTGCAAAACGACAACGAAACCAAAACGGCCAACGAAATCGCCAGCACATCGTTTAGGTCGACCCCTGCCCTGCCGCTGTCGCCAATTTTGCCGCCCCTGTCCAGGAACTGCTTGAGCCACTTCGTGTGCAGGCGTTCGCTTTGACCCACGCCTTTGATCCACCCAACCTTCTCGTGGCCGTCTACGACGGCCTTGATCTTCAGCTGCCTGGAGAGATGATTCGAACCGCCACGCTTGATTGAATGAAGACTTGCGGCGAGACCGGGGGGACTGCAGAGGGGAGCGGGCGTCCTCAGAAGGCTCGCAAAATTTCTCAGCCTTCTCCGGAGACAGGGAAGCCCTCTGAACAGGCCAGAGGGCTTCAGAGAAGCCCCCGCCGCCGTCTAAGTGGTCCTGCCCCTCGCACTTCCCCCCAAGGGCTCGCCACCGAGGATGGGGAAGGCAAGGGTACCGCTACCGCTACTCCCCAGACCTCTCCCAGGGTGCGTTCTGACAAGGATTTCGAGGCGAAGCCAGCGGTGGCGACGAGGGCCTCCTCAGAGGCCCAATGAAGGCCCAAACGAGTGAAGGGTAGCGGTATCCGTAATTACATACCTGTTCCTCCTCTGGGGGATGAGAGCAAGCAGGACGGAAGACACCGACATCGGCATGTGCGCATGCGCCTGATGCAACGGCTGTTTCCAACTGGGGCCGTCGATGGAGCCGCAGAGCCTGGCCAGCTGCGCGCTCGCACACGCCTCGGAACAGCGAACGTCTACTCCAACCCCATGTGGAAGGCCAAGAGATGGAGCCCCCCCCCGCGGGAACAAAAAGGTACCGATACAGCTACGCCCTGGACCTCTCCCCCGGGTGCATTCTTCCCATACTTCCGAGGGCTCCCCAGGACGAGGGCAACAAGGACTTTCCAGAACGAATAACGGTAAAGGTGTCCAGACATCCGACAACAAGATGTGTTCAGTGCGCGGCACCAGAGAAGTAGATCCCCTCCCTGGGGCCAACTTTTGGCCCCATAGATGCATTGGTGATGGCCCCAGGGCCAGACGACGAACCTGGGGGACAACTCAAGACAAAAAACACCTGGCCTGAAGTGTCTCACGGTCGGAGATCTGGGCTGTGTCCCTCCCGCAACCCACTTGGAGCATCACTGGGGGCGCCAAGGGGACTTACGAGTGGACCGCAAGTGCCCTGAGCGGCTTACGGTGGGGCAGAGACCTGGGCCAAGCAGAAGGAGCCCACTCAGCAGCGCTGCCAAGCGCCTCTAAGCCACTATGGGCACTTACAACCCGTGTGTAAGCTGGGCTAGGCCAAACATTACCCACACCATCACCCCCATGTAACAGGCCTGTCACCTTAGCAACCTTAACGCTGATCCCCCCCGCGTGGGGAAACCAAAAAAAACGATACCGCTACTCCCCCGACCTCTCCCGGGATACGGTCTGACCAGGATTAGGTCGGGCATGTCCTCCTACAAGCAGATTGCGAAGGACAAATCAAACATAATTTTAAACATAATATGAGACAACATATCAACAAATCTTCCCCAGCCTATTTTTTGACTACTTGTGAATGAGCCTCCTGAAGAGTGACGTGCCCGATTGGGGACGAGGACTCCAAGGCGAATCCAGCGGCGGCCACGAGGGACCTCCCGGGAGGCCAAACAGAGGAAAAACGAGGGATGGGGAGTGGTATGATGCACCTTCACTCTGCGGCACAGCGAAGTCCTGCTCGCCTCTTTGTGGCCTCCACCTCCTCCTCCTCCTCCTCCTCCTCCTCCTCCTCCTGCTCCTCCTCCTCCTACTCGGCCTCCTCCTCCTCCTCCTCCTCCGATGAGCGGTGGTCCAACCACCCAAAGCGTGGACTCTGCCGCTCCTGCCTGGGCCTCGCCTCCGCCGCCGAGTCCTCGGAGTCCGAGACGCCTGCGGGCCGCCGGGGTCGCCCGATGCCGAGCGGGCGGGCCACGCGCGGGGTATCGGCAGCGCCAGGCCGCGGGGCCGCCCCTCGGAGCACGTGGTGATGCTGGTGCTGCTGGTGATGGTGGTGGAAGCACGGTGATTGGTGCTTGGTGATGGTGATGGTGATGATGGTGATGATGGTGATGATGAGGATGATGAGGATGATGCTGCTGATGATGATTATGATGATGCTGATGCTGAGGATGATGAGGATGATGCTGCTGCTGATGATGATGATGATGACGATGATGATGATAATGATTATGAGGATGGTGATGATGATGCTGATGATGCTGATGATGCTGCTGATGCTGATGACGATGGTGATGATGATATTAGTGATGATGACACTAATGGTGGTGATGATGATGAGGATGCTGATGGTCTCTGTCCCCACTGGCGTGGCCTTGGCCAGCGTGACCGAACTATCCAGCCGCTCCTTCGGGTTTCGCGGGGGCCCATGCCCACCTGATCAAGGAGGGTGGGCTGGTGGGGCTGCGATATCATGGCCCAGCGGGGATGGCTATAGGCCAAACGATTCTGGCCCTCTGCGTACCAGCGAGTGGACACCTATTCTTAGGTCGGGCATGATAACAATCGAAACATACTCCATCGAATATTCCTCCAGTTGAGGAGCATGCCCGACTTACACCTATTGTTGCCCGTCAGCCTCGGGCAAGCTTCGGACGGGGATCCTGGCGGTCCTCGGCGGCATCTTCGGCGGCGTCGCGTCGCGAGAACCAGGCTGCACGGCTGCGCCAAAGGGTCCTCTCTCGACGGTCCTCGGCGGTCTTCGGCGATTTTTTTCCCGCGCGAAGGCTGGATGGTCATGTCTACGCTCGAGTAGGGCCGAGGGTCAGAGGGCGCCTTCCTCTGTTCGGGAGACTCCCCATGGGGGGGGATCCCATGGGGGGGCAGGAGGGGATCCCCCCCATGGGATCCCCTCCTGCCCCCCCACGGGAATTCCAGGGGATCCTATGGGATCCCCCCCCGTGGGATCCTATCCCCCCATGGGATCCCCCCCCATGAAGAGTCTCCCGATCTGTAAGACCACCAACAAAAACATACGTCACAGCGGTCAAGCGCTTCGCCGGCGAAGCCGGCGAATATGCGCACAGTCCAACCAGTCGATCATGTTCATAGTCTTGGCTTGACGCCCGTATCAATTCAGCTTGACCGAACAGGTTGGTTGCGTCCCTCGACGTCCGTGTGGGGCCTTCTGCAGACCTGAACCCCCGGCCCTGCTCAAATCTTTGGTCCTCTGACGATCCCCGGTGGTCCTCGGCGGTGTCCGCCGGTTTCCGGCAAGAGAAGGCTGGACGGTGGCGTTCAAACAAAGGGACCCGCGATCGAACACATGAGCCTTCGACTGCTCCGCTTCGCTCCGCCCCGCGTTCGAGACTCAACTTGCGCCATGGGGGGTAGGGCAGGCCACGCCTGCCACTGCCACTTGCGCGACCCAGTGGGCTCTCAAAAACGCGGGCCTATATGTTCGAATTCGGCGATGTTCGGAGCGGCAAGGAGCCGGAACGCACGGCATTTGGGCCCCTACGGGTCCCCAGATCTAGCCGAAATTAGCACGTCCCCCAAAGCGCCGAGTACGGCATCCATATGTGATCCCAATCGGCCGAAACTTCGGCCCACGCCCCGATACCGGGTCCTCCCCCAATTGCGGGTAAGAGCGAAGGGACGCGGGTGAGTCACGGCGCGGGTGGGTCGCGGGTGGGTCCAGGTGCGGGCGCGAGTCGCGGGGCGACGACGACAAGAACACTAATGACACTTCGCACTGCGGAACCCTACTGCACCCGCGCACACAAGCACTGTGCAAAACAGCTCGGCCTATTCATTCTGATGTCCTTTTGCCTTACTTAAATCAAATGTTGGACGCAATGCGTACGGTACGGACAGAATGGGTACGGTGTCCAACAACGCATGTCGCCCTAAACCGACAGCGGACGATGTTCGGCAGGCAGTCTCCTGTCTCGAGTGGACAGCGTCCGCGGCGACGCCGACACGCGAGCCCTGTCCAAAATGAACATGAAATGTTGTCGGTGTGATGGCCCATTATCTCCGTATCCGTGTCGATCGTCCCGAGATATGAGAAGGCCTTGTCAGGACGCTCGGACAACCCCTGGCCGTCTGAGAAGGCTCCTGAACCTCCGCCGAAGACACAAACCACGTCTCAGAAGGCCGGGTGCCTTCTGAGAAATCCTGCCGCCTTCTGAGAAAGCCATCTCCTTCTCAATGCCCCCCCTCGCCCGCCGCCGATTATGGGGAAACCAAGAGGTATCGAGACCGCTCCCCTGAACTCTTCCAAGCTCCCCAGAACTCTCCCGGAGTGCGTTCTGACCAGAATTGGAAGGCGAAGCCAGCGGTGGCGACGAGGACCTCCCAGGAGACTCCAAAACAGTAAAAGACGGCCGAGGGGTAGCGGTACGGGTACCCAGCGGTCGAAAGAAGCAAGTAGGAACAGGAAGTAGGAAGGCGTTGAAGTAGAGTGGGTGTCCGCCCGCCACCTAGGAGGACCGAAGTGGTGAAGCCACTCGATCATTGAAGCAGGAAGGCGCTCAGAGCAGCTCGGGATCTGGGAATCCAGAAACTGCCCACTTTCGGCGACCGAGGGGCACCACTTCCATCTCTGGAGAGAAGAGTGCCGCGCCCCAGCCAGAGCACGCCGCGGGCGAACGCGCCCCAGAGTAGAAGCAGCCGCTGCGCCCGCGAGGGGGCGGCGGTGCGGGGCGCAACCCGCCGCGGGGCGAAGGGGGGCGCCCGCGGAGGGGGGCGGCCCGGCGGCGAGGAGCGCACGGTTCTTTTGGGAAGCGCGCCGGGTCGCGGCTCCCGCGTCCGAGCACGCGTGGCCCGCGCAGGGTGCCGCACGCTGGGCCTCCTCCACCTCCTCCTCGTCCTCCTCCTCTTCCTCCTCCTCGCCGTCCTCCTCCTCGTCCTCCTCCTCTTCCTCCTCCTCCTCCTCGTCCTCCTCCTCCTCCTCCACCTCCTCCTCGTCCTCCTCCTCCTCCTGCTCCTCCTCCTCCTCCTCCACCTCCTCCTCGTCCTCCTCCTCCTCCACCTCCTCTTCCTCCTCCTGGCACAGGCGCGGTTCTCGGGAGGGGGTTTGGGGGGGAAGGAGGAGGAGGAGGCGGCGCAGATCAGAACAGGGCGAGGAGGGGGAGGATGGGGGGTGGCGACCGAGAGGGAGGGAGGCGGGGGCGGGGAGTGGGAGGGAGAAAGAACCGAAAGGGAGAGTCGAAGGGAAGGAGCAATACGAAAATGAAGCGCAAATACAGAGGGGGGGTCGGAGCAGTGGGATGGGTGAAAGAATCGTCGGCAGTAAGTGCTGAATATGGCATATTGGGGGTGGTCTCTACAACAAGCAACTATCTCACGCCGTCCTGTCGCGGGCTAGCATGAGCCGCTATTCGCTGGATTGGATTGTGTCGTGGTGGGCGCACTGCTATGTTCGAAAAACTGGTAGAAGCCCTGAGAACCAACGATATCGTCATCGCGTCAAAATTGGGGCCGCGTGCTTACTCGCCTAATTTGCTGTTCACCGCTGCGTGAACGCATCCTGCAATATCCTTTGGTTGAACGTGTAGCTCTAGGACATACGCGGTCCCAAGGCTCGACACCATAATGGCCACTGACGCCATCGAATACCCGCTACTGGAAGTCATGCCCCCTGGCCTCGATTGCATATCCGCCGTCGACGTGCGGACAATGAACTGCATCCACGAAGAGAAGTAGCGCTTGCCGTTTGGGTGCATCGTAGAACTGATGTGTGGAACATGTTTTCGGGTGGGCCAGAACGGTGGAATCGTGTACGGCAGGTGGTTGGCGTCAGCGATTCGCTGAACAGCCTGAGCCTGCACTAGGGGGGTGGGGTCTGCAGCGATTGCTGTTCAGTTCGTCGTGGAGACAGGGTAGGGAAGGTAGTAGAATGGGGGGAGGGCAAAAGACGGAGGAACGGGAAGAGGACCCATTCTGTCACATGGGGCCTCCGCCTCTCCAACAAACAAAGCCCTTCTGTCACAGAAAGGCAACATTGTCACTGTATGCTGGCCTGGATTAAAACTTGCGCAATCCTGGCGCGATTACGTTGGCTAGACGATCTACTGAAACTCAGGGGCCGTTTGCGTGCGGACGAACGGCTTTACGGTCTGGTCAGCACTGACGCGGCCGCTTTTGCCACAACGCCGTCAACCCTCATCGCGCGAAACGAGCCGCCCCTGTCGTGCGCTGGCGGCCTGTTTGCTTGACATCGAGAAGCCCTGGGGGCAGGCGAACTGTCGCAAAATGGGCGCGGAGAAAACAGGTCGCCGGCACTCCTCTGTCGGCGAGGGGTGAGGAGATGCCATCTTACTGTTATGTCAGTGCGCGGGCGTTCACAAAGATGCTACTGTCGACAAACATGAGGGGAGGGGGCGCGCGTGGAACAGAAGGTGAAGGACGAATGGGATGGGAACGGGGAGTGGAGATGAACGGGGCTGTAGGTGGAAGTGGGACAGGGACGACTGTGAAGGAGGGGGCGGGGGATGGGGTGCGCGGGCAAGAGGAGACCAACGACAAAAGCGCGGAAGAGGCGGAGGAGGCGGCGGACGACGATGCCGCAAAGGGGAGAGAAGTAGGATGAGGAGAGGGGCGGGAAGAAGGGGCATTGACGAAAATGATTATCCTGTCTCGGCGCAAGCGGGCAGTCTCCGGGCGGCGGCCGCGGCGCGCGCGCACGAGGAGGCCCGAAAGGAGCGCGGGCCCGCCGGGCGCGCGCGGGCCGAGCTGCGCCGCTCCCAGGCGGGCAACACCGCACGGTCGCCGAGGATATCGACGAGGCGCTGCCGCAGGTCAGCCTTTGAGGAGGAGGGAGGGAGGGGTAGGGGGCCGATGGGCTGCAGAGACTGCTGGGCGCCGAGCGCGAGGAAAACACGACCGTGCGTTCTCCCGCACCCTCGCGCAAGCGAGCAGCCTCAGAGGCGGCGGCCAGGGCGCGCGCGCGCGCGAGGGGGGGGGGCCCGAGAGGGGTCGTGGGCCCGCCGCATGCGCGCGCGCGGGCCGAGGCTGGCAAGTCCTCCTGCAGAAATCGACGAAGCGGTCGCATCCACGCTCCAAGCCTTTTCGAAACGTCAAGGTTTCGGCGGGAGGCCGCAGGATGGATGGACCACGCAGCTGGGTCAGAGTGCGAGGTGGCAATGAAAAGGCGGACGCCGGGAACCCGACGCCTCAGCCCTCACATGGAGACGTGCGGTTGTACATCTTCCGCGGCGATTCGAGAACTGCGTTGCCCCAGGGCCTCGCGAGCGCGCCGGCGTGAAGCTCAAACTCGGGGTCGTTCTGACAAGCGGGGCGCCGGGCGCCGAAAGCGAGCGGCACCGCCGAGCACGGAAACCGGTCGCCCAGAAGGTGCGAGCGGATTGGCGGGGCGCAGATGCCGAGACACCTGCGTCAGGTGCTTCGCCGTGGCTCTCTGCCCAGGCAGCGAGCAGACTTCGCCGGAAAGGACGAGCGCCTCTTCGGAGCGAGGCTGGAGAGGATGGCGGCCCCGCTGGACTGAGCCAGGGTGACATACGGGGGAGCCCAGCATCGCGCGGCTGCGCGCCGAGAGGCAGCGAGAACCCGCCCGAGGCAGGAGCCGCTGCGCTGCAGGACGCCGGGCGCCACTCTCGAGCGCGCCACACACGACCCCGCGCGCGAGGCAGCGAGTGAACGAGGCCCGCGCTCGAGGACGGCGAGGGCGGGAGCGAAACTCGCACGGCAGAACGGTTTTCCCGCGAGCCGCGGAAAGCGGGCCAGCAGAACCCCGAGCCCGGCCCGAATCGAGCCGCCGGCGTGCGGGAGCGCTCTGCCGCAGCGGGCGCCAGGGCAGATGGCTGCGACGTCGCGCCGTCTGAAGCGGCTGCGGGGCGCCCCGATGACGCTCGGGCCCGCGGCGCCACGGATGCCAGAACAGCGGCCGCGCAGCCAGGGGCGCCTGGCGGCACGCTCAGGGCGTGGCCCCCCCCAGGGTGGCCAACCTCCTGGACCGCCGACTCCTCTCGGGGGGGACGAAGCCTCCCGGCGCCAGGAGGCGCGCATATATCGACGAACGGGCCTCGCGGCGGGGCCGATTCCAGCTGCATGCAGCAGATTTCAGAATCCCCCCCTTCCCGATCCTTAGGTCGGGCGTGTCCCCCTACAGGGAAATCTTCGACGAAAAATCAAAAATACTCACAAAATGCGCCAAAGTGGCCAAAAAATGTTCAAGAAATAGTCACCCGACTATTTTTTAACTGTCTTTGAATCTTTCCCCTGTAGAGGGACAGGCCCGAATCAACCCTATCCCCTCCCTTTCCTTCGGCCCGACCCTCGCGGCGAGGCGGGGGCGGACTGCCCAGGGAGCGGGCGCCGCGAGCCGCGGCCGGGCGGCGACGGCGACGTCGGAGGCGGCTCGCTCGGCTCGGCCCCGGCGGCGGGAGGCAGCGAGGCGACGCTGCCGTCGCTCGCGGCGCGCAGCAGCCGGGGGCCTCGAGCGGGGCCACCCCGCCACGAGAGGCGCCGCGGGCGCCGTCGGCGAGGTCGGCGCGCGCGGCCGCGCGCCACTCTCCGGGTGGGGCCGCCAAAAATCATCGCTGCTGCGGGGGCGCCCCAGGCGCGCGCGACGCGGCGAGGCGCCTGCGACCTGCGCGTGGATGGGCTCGCTTCGAGAATGGGAATGTTCCCCGCGCGGAGGCGCGACAGCTCGCGGACGCGAGCCCGTTCCCGCCGCCGAGGCCCGCAGCGACCAGCAGCGGGGAGGCGCGGGCCGGCTCACACCGAGGACCTCGATGAGGTCAGCCTGGGGTTCTGAGAGGCTCGCGCGAGGCTGAGCATATACTTCCGTATCGCTCACGCAGATCGCCCCTCGGCCCCCGATGCTCGCTCGGCCGCCGCCCCCGCCGGCGGCGGTCTCCCCCGCGGTCGCCCCTGCCGCCCGCGGCGCGCCGCCGATGCGCGGGAGTTTAACTCCGACGGCGTCGCGGGCATCGCTGGGCTGCCACGGCTGCCCGCGGAGGATCGCCCGAGCCCGAGTCGAAGCCCGACTCGAAGGGTTCCGCAGCCGCGGCGTCTGCCCGCGCCCGTCGTGGCACGCGCCGGCGGGGCGGCGCGGGCCCATTGGGGCCTGCGGCAAATACAGGGGCCACGGCCCGGGCTTCCAGGCCGGGCGCGCGCCTGCTTCGGGGTCGGGCGCGCATCTGCATTAACGAGTCGACATGCAACGCATCCAAAAAGAGCTAGGTGTGTATATATATATATATATATAGATATGTACATGTACATCGGCATCGGAAGAGGCATTAACGCATGTCATTTAAGAATGCAGCTACATGAAGCGGCATGCAAGGCTAAATGCAGCTACTTGAAAAGCTACATGCAGCTAGATGCAATGCTAGATGCAGATAGGTGCCTCCCCGCAGCCACCCCCCCAGCCACCCATGCCTTGGTGCTTGGTGGCTGGGGAATGGCTGAGTGGTGGCTATGGGGCGGCTGTGGGGTGGCTGGGGGGCGTTGAAGGGCAGCCAGATTAACTGGAGACACCTCGACTCCACGGCATCCGACGGCTGAGACGGCCCAGGCCCCCTCGCGGCCCTGTTCAAAACAGGGGAGATGGCAATAGCGCACGAAAAACTCGTTTGGTGCGATATATCCCCGTGCTCGTTGGTTGCCCGGCCGCGGGCCACCCCAGACGATCAACCTAGACCACCAGACCACCGAACCACTTCGGGGACCTTCAGCTGCACTCACTCCACCGTGAGACTGCGGGGGCCTGAGAAGTTGCTCGATTACCAGAAACGTGTTATAGCCGAGCAGGTGTTCAATGACCTGGCCTGGCGACGCCGAAACAAATCATCATCATCACCATCACCATAATCATCATCACTATCATCACCACCACCACCATCATCATCATCATCATCATCATCAGCATCAGCATCAACATCAGCATCAACATCAGCATTATCATCATCCGCACGATCATTATCTTCATCATCATCATCATCATCATCATCATCATCATCCTCATCCTCATCCTCATCCTCATATTCATCCTCCTCCTCCTCCCTCTCCCCCTCCTCCTCATCCTTCTCATCCTCGTCCTCATCCTCATCACCATCATCCTCATCACCATCCTCAACATAATCCTCATTATCATCATCATCATCAGCATCAACATCATCATCATCCTCATCCTTATCCTCATCCGCATCATCATTTCATCATTAGCATCATCATTATCCCACCATCGTCGTCATCACCGTCACCATCGTCATCGTCATCGTCACCAGCATCATTATCATCGTCGACGACATCGTCATCATAATCAGCATGATCATCATCAGCATCATACAAATCATCATCACAATCATCAACAACAGCAATGTCATCATCACAATCATCACTAACATCATGATCATGATCATGATCAGCATCAACGTCACGATCATCACCAACATCATCATCATCAACAACATCACCATCCTCCTCTCATTATCATCATCATCATCACCATCATCATCATCATCATCATCATCATCATCATCATCATCATCATCATCATCATCATCATCATCGTTATCATCACCCTGCTCATCGCAATCACCATGCCCGCCATACGTGCAAACCCAAAAAGCGCATTCTATGAAACCTTGAGGTTGGGGACGGCGAGCCCCAAGCGAAGTTCGATGCAGGCGGAAATGCTGACCTGACCAACGGCGAGCGAGACGCAAAGCTAAATTGAGCCAAAAGCAAACCTGCATGAGGCTGAATGCAAAACTAGTTTGAGCTAAATGCCAAACAAAATGGAGCCAATACGTCCCGCAAATAGGACTAGACGCATCGATCACTCATCGACTAAAGTTGTTTTATGAACACTGGTATAAACCAACTTACACATTTACATCTGTCGTATGGGTATCAGCCAACTACACCGTTTACAGCTGTTTTACCGGCGCGTACCGGTTCAAACCAACGGTATAAGCCAACATAACAGCTAGTGTCACATTCAGAAATGCACGAAATGCGCAAATCAGCGACCTTCAAACACGATTTGCGCGTTGCTATATCTACATATGGAGGCCACTGCACATGTAAACGCGCGCCCGCCCATATAAGTGGGGCCCGACGGCCCCGGCGGCGGCGCCAGCGGAAGCGCGCGCGGGCGCAGCGTCTTCGCGGGGCCCAGCGGTGCCGGGCTCGGGGCGGGCGGCCGCGGGGAGCGCGCCGCTTGGGGCGCCGCTGGATTGAGCCAGGGTCAAACTAGGCAAGCGAAATAGGACGTAAACATACAAACTCGAAGGTCCGCGCGGATTTCTCGGATCGTCGCTGGACCCCCCTCCCTGGCGCGCGGCGCGCGAGTGGCAGCGCCGGAGGCGCTGCCAGGGGGGTCCATCGCGGATCCGAGAAATCCGCGCGGACCTCCGAGTTGTTATGTTTATGTTATTCTTGATTCCCCCGAAGGAGCGAAAGCCTAGCAACACGCGCAACGCGCGGCTGCTCGCCGAGAGGCGGCGGGAACCCGCGCGAGCAGAAGCCGCTGCGCTACGGAGCGCCGAGCGCCACTCTCGAGCGCTTCGCGACCCCGCGCGCGAAACAACGAGGGAACAAGGCCGACGCTCGAACAGAGCAAGGGCGGAAGCGAAACTCGCGCGCGCAGGCACGGGTTCGCGCGATCCGCGAGCGGGGGCTCCAAAATCCCAGGCCTGGCCCGCAGCGCGGCCCCAGCGCGCGGGCACGTGGCGGCAGCGGATGCCCAAACAGAGGGGGACGCGACGTCGCACCGTCTGAAGCGGCCAGGGCGACCCGAAAACGCACGGGCCCGAGACGCCACCGACGCCGCGCCCGTGACCAGCCAACGGCGCCTGGTGGCTCGCTCTGGGAGGCGCCGGCGCCCCGTGGTGGGCAACTCCCTGGCGAACGGCCCACGCCACCCGACGAGGACAGGACCGTCCCAGGCGCGCGAAGCGGCGAGGCGCCCGCGACCTCCGCGCGGACGGGCTCGCTTCGGGAACGGGGGCGCCCCCGACACGGAGGCGCGACAGGTCGCGGGCGAGGGCCCGCTCCCTTCTCCGATGCCCGCGTCGATTGGCGGGTGGGAGGAGCGGGCGGGCTCGCGCGGGGGACCCGGGCGAGAGCAGCTTTGGGCTCTCCGAGGTTCGCGCGAAGCTGAGCCCATCGCCCACGCGGATCGACCCTCGGCCCCCGATCCTCGCTCGGCCGCCCCCTTCGCCAGCGGCGGTCTCCCCCGCGGGCGCCCCCGCCGCGGGCGGCGCGCCACCGCCGCGCAGGGGCGCCTCCGACGGCGTCGCGGGATCGCTGGGCCGCCATGACAAAGACCGAGGATCGACAGAGCCGCACCGACTCGAACGGCTCAGCAGCCGCGTAGGCTGCCCGAGCCCTCGCGGCACTCGCCGACGGAGGGGCCTGCGGCGAATGCAGGGGCCAAGGCCCCGGCTTCCAGGCCAGGCGCACGAAACCGGCCCGACGGCCTCGGCGGCGGCGCCCGCGGAGACGCGCGTGGGCGCAGTGCCTCGGCGGGGCTTGCTCGTGCTGGCCTCCTGCCAACGGCGGCCCTGGAACAGGTCCCCACGGGCGACCGCGAAGAGCACCGCCGGGAGCGGTTGCGGGCGCGCGAGGGGCCGCAGGCCCGGAGGCGCGCGATGGGCAAGGCCGCGGCGGACCCCCTTGCCCCACGAGGGCGTCCCCGCGCCAGCACGTAGCGAGGCGCGGGCGCGAAGCACCCATGCCGGGATTCGGGCCAGTGGCGTGGCCCCCCAGGTTGAAGGCGCCCTCGCGGGCCCCCGACAGCGCGGCGCCGCTGCCGTGGTCGGGGCGACGCCAAATCGGAGCCCTGCGAAAAGCAGCCTGGACGGTGGCACGGGGAACGTCCACGGGCCCGCCGAGGAGTTCGTCCGCTGCCAGCAGGCGCGCCGCGCCGACAAACGCACGCGGGGCGGCCCCCGCGCACCCCTTGGGCGTTGCGGCAGCATCAGGGCGGCTCGGCTGACCCCGCGCGCCAGGGGGCGGCCGTCGGGTATTCGAACCTTGAGGGTCACGGCCACCAGCGGGGGTGCCGCGGAAGGGGCCCCAGGGGCGGCCCCGTCTGCCGCGGCGGCGTTGGGGCCGCGGCCGGCGATGAGGTCGCCGACCGGCGGGCCGCGCGGCCCGCACCCGTTGCGCGGCCCGCTCGTCGCGCCGGTGGCCTCGGCCGCGGGGGCCGCGGCGGGGGCGCCGGGGGGCCTCGGCAGACGCCGGCCGCCCTGCCCAGGGGGGGCACAGCGCCAGCTACGGCGCAACGAAACGGCCCCACGGACACGCGGGGGAAGGGGCACGCCAGCCCGCGAGCGCCACGCAATCAACCCTGGGAAAGAACCCGCTTCCGCTTCCGTGAGCCAGGCTGAATGGGGCTCGGGCAGGAGGGCGGACCTGGGCAACGTCGCCCTGAGAAGATGCGGCGGCCTGGCTGCTGCGGCCGTGCGCAATTGCGCCAAGGGCCACTGTGGAATCAGACAGCACGGTCTCCCTCGGATCAGACATGTGCTGTGGCAAAATCATGGTTTCCAGGATGCAGATGCGACGCAGCACGCCGAAGAACCGTCAATCGGCGAGACGGACATGGAGCGACTTCGACAGCTCAGTGACCCAGTAAGGCGCGACCAGGGGCTCGAGAGGGTGGGGGGCCTCAGGTCGCGGCGAAGCTGGGCCCGCTCAGAGCCGGGGGGGGCGGCACATTTCAGGGCCGCTAGCGCCCAGCGGCCGCGCACACGCGCGCGTCGACCGCCCTGCCCCGAACGGCGCCACGATTCGCCAGCAAGGCGCAGGCCTGTCGGTGCGCGGAGCACCGCCCGCCCCCCGTGCGGATGAGGCACCCGCGCCGAACACATTGGGGGCGGAGCCCGCGCGAAGGTCGGACGGACATGGGCCACAGGTACTCACGCCCGCTCCCTGCCTCCAGGATCGAAGAGAGCGCGATGATGCGGGGGGGGGGCCGACATCAGCGGCTGCCGGGGCAGGAGACCTCTAGCCCGCCATCCACAGTGGGCGCCAGGACGGCGCGCATCGAACAGCCGAGGCACAGTTGGATGAGCGCCCGCCCGCAGAGAACCGCCGCCCGAACGAGCGGGGCGCAGACTACGGCGATCTTACACTCAGCCTCAGCACCGACAGCGACCTCATGGGTCGCGGCGCGGGCGCTATGCCCAGAGGCTGGACCAGCCCCACTTTGGGATAGCAGCGGTCGCGCACAGCGGGAACCGCCTTGCCCCCGCGCAGAGGATCGTCGGGACGAGGTGCCGAACAGTTCCAGGACAGCTCCTGTTAACCCGCATGGTCGTCGATGCCTAACATTTTGACGAAGGGATATCGCTGGAGCGGACAGCGGTGCACCGCTTGCCCATCGGAGCGAAGAGCCCCAGAGCTGTGCAACGCGCCCTTGCGGCGGGAATTGGTGATCTCCACCGCCGCATTGTCGCCCATCGCGAGCGCATCCTGGCGCGGGGGCCCATGGAGCCCCCTCAGCTCGGGTCGCCAGCCCCTGAGCGCCTTAAGTCGGGTTGGTGGACCTTGGATGTTGCACGATTGATGCGTGTCTTGTCATACCCGTGCTGAGCTGCACCGCCATCGCTGGCGCTTGGATGAAAGTGCCAAGGGTTGCGGCGTCCTCCTCGTAGTACGTGTGGTAGCCGCCGTAGTTGCCAGGCTGCGGTTCCAGTGGCGATGTAGATCCCCGCTCCGCGCCGCCGCACTTGGCTATGTGGCCTGCTTTTGTCAATCGATCAGTCCAGAACCACGTGCCACACGTGGCGTTATGGCAAATGGCCTTGTTTCCACCGCCGCTGTTCCCTTGACCCCACCTCCTGGGGCCGATCTGCGAACGTCACTCGCTGCACCACGGGGCAAGCTGAACCCAAGGCTGACGCTGGTTACAAAACTCTGGTTACCTCCACCGCTGCAGACACCGCCAGAACCGACACCACCGCCAGGCCCAGAAAGAACTGGTGCCATGGTAGCGCTGCACGGTGTGATCTGTAGGATATGGAAAGAAGGCGAACTATCAAGATACCTGAAGAATCGGACGCATCGGCCCTCGGCGTCAGAGAGGTCCTACCGCTCGAAGCGCCCAGGGGACTCCCGGTCACTGGACCCCTATCATCGGCCTTGAGCCAAAACTGCCACGGACATGACGATTAAGCTGATAATAATGATGGTGGTGTTGATGATGATGACGATGATGCTGATGATGATGGTGATGATGATGAAGGCAGTGATGGCAATGACGGTGGTGGCGATGGTGATGGCGATGATGATGATGATGCTGATGGTGCTTATGACGATGATGATGAGGATAATACTGATGTTGATTATGATGATGGTGATGATGATAATGTCCATACTTACCCCAGTGCGATCCTACCTAGAAGTTGGAGCCCCTAGGAAAGCAGCATTCGTTGCTATGCTATGCTATGCTATGCTATGCCATGCTATGCTGCGCTATGCTATACTATGCTATGCTATGCTAAGAAGTTCTATGGTATGCTATGATAAACTATGATATGTCATGCTGCGCTGTGTTACGCTAAGCTATGCTATGCTATGCTAAGCTGCGCTATGTTATGCTATGATATGCGATACGATGCTATGCGATGCTATGCTATGCTGCGCTATGCTATGCTATGATATGCTATGCTATGGTTGGCTATGTTATGCGATGCTATGATATGCTAGTGCAGCGCTGCGCTATGCCAAGCTAAGCTAAGCTGAGCCAAGCTAAGCTAAGCTAACTGGGCTATGCTATGCTGGGCTATGCTATGATATGCTATGCTGCGCTATGCTAGGCTACGCTCTGCCCTGCTATGCTGTGCTCTGCTATGCTAAAGCTCGGCGAAACTAAGATGAAGGTAAGCGAAGCTAAGATAAACCTGAGCTAAGATGAAGCTAAGCTAATATAAGATGAAATAATCTAAGCTAAGATGAGATAAGCAACGCTAAGCTAAGGGGACGTAATTGGGGGAACCGCGGGGCGGATGCCGGGGGAACCGCCCGGGGCGTTTTACACTGCCCGGCCCTTAAAGCCCAGACAGTAAGAACTCTTCTAGGCAGAGCCAAGGTAGGAAAAAATGGTACAACACATGATGATGTTGATGGTCGATGGTGATGGTGATTGATGGTGATGGTGATGTGATGGTGATCATGATGATGATAATCATGCCGCTGCTGAATATGATTATGATGATGATGATAATGATGATGATGGGGGCGATGACGATTACGATGATGGTGATGATGGTAGTGGCAATGATGATGGTGTGATGAGTATGGTGATGGTGAGGACGATTGTGAGAAGAATAATCTGACCCAAGACAAAGCCGAAGACGTGGCAAATGGGAACGAGGACGAGGCGGAAGCTTAGGAGGGAGGGAGGGGAATGATCACACCACTGGATGGGGCGGGGGGGTGAGGAGTAGCGAGGAGGATGAGGAGAAGACGAATAGGAATGACAGGAGGAAGACTATTATAAGATCGAGAAGGAGGAGTAGGACGAGCAAGACAAGGGACATTAGCCTCTCGGGCTGACTTGCCATGAACATGCGAAGGCCTGCGGGGAAGGCCGTAAAGGCTACATCCCCCGACGGGAGCAAACATCGGAAGCCAGCCTTGCAAATTAGAAAGACGTGCGAAGACAATACTGAAAAACATAATGATTAGGAAGTGAATGAGGCAGAGGAAAAGACAGACGAGGCGAAGTTGACTGGGAGGAGGGAATGAGGAACAGGCGGGACGAAGGAATAAGCTTGGGACGCGCACAATTTCATGGCACATCAGCGGGTGAAACAAACCAAACAACCTACCCGAACCAAAACAGTCTGCACGAGTTGCATGGTTTAACCATGCGTGCGGTCTGTACACAATTGCGATCTGGTCGGCAGGCCTACGTGTGGCGCTGTGATGTACAGCCCACACTGAGGGCCGCCGAAGTACGCTAAAACCTACAACCGTTGATGACAACGGCCTGGGAGGAAAATGAAGGGCGAACGCGCAACGGGGACAACTGAACTTCGCAGGCACTCTCCAGAACCAAATCCTGGCCGTGTCCGACGATGTGATTTTCTCAGCGCGAGGCCTCGAAGAAGGCCCGACCCTCTCCCTGGGGCAGTTTTTCGTCCAGGATCCATGTTTGATCGCCCACGGGCCCCACAGGCGGCCCCAAGGACCGGGATCGAAGACACCTGCCGGGACTGGAAACGCCAAATCGTCGGAAAACTGGCGCCGAAGACTAGGGAACACAAAAAAAAGTACCGATACCGCTACTCCGCGGACCCCACCCGGGGTGCGTGCGCCAGTCAGTCCCGCAGCGCTGGCGGGGACGTGCGCGTCTTCCCGACTGGGCCTGCATCGGCGTCCCGGGCCTCGGCGCGGCCGGGCCGCGGGGCTGCTCCTGGACTCGGGCCTGCGGGGGCAAGGAGGTGCGCGGCATCACCACCGGCGCGGGAAGCCAGGGGGGGCATCCTTCCCAAACGCGCTGGCGCTCCCAAAAATCAGAACAAGAGGGGGAAAAGATGGTGGAAGTGAAGTACCCGAACTCTGGAGTAATCATGTTCGGCCTCCGGGGGCCTTCGACGGGCCCCAGGCCCGGCAACGAGGCAACATGAATAGTAAACCCCAATGAATGGGCCAGGACCCCGGGGAACCGCGCAATGAAACATCACAATGCTGCGTGTCTCGGGGGCGGGCCGTCCGGGCGGGGCGTGGTCGCCCTTCCCCGCTCGACTCCAAGCCGGAGCAGGCATCGTGGGCTTGCCGTCGCTCGGACGCCCATTTCCCGTGCATTTTTCGGTTACGTCCGTGTTTCGTTTTTGCTCGATGGTCCAGGATGATCCTTGATGGTTCTTGCCGAGAGAAAATGCACACGTCCGAGCGATGCCAGGTGGATATCCTCGCTGGAACTGGCACCCCTGGTGATGTGGAGTAGAGGTTTCCTGGCCTCGTAGCCCCCCAACAAAAACTGTCTTCTTCCCCCAAAAACCCTGGCTCGCTGTTAATTAAAAAGGCGGGCAGGTGCCCGACGGTTGTCGAATTTTTGCGTCCAGCCGCGGATCACGAGGACGCCCTGAAGCAGGGAATTGCACTAAATCTCAAACCGTTTGCAATCGCACTTCGCGGCGGAGGGACATCGACGGAAACGCTGGGTGCCCCGCCCCACATCCCAGAATTGGCAAAACTGCTGCGGACGCGAATGTGCTGCAAAACAAGCAGGCGCAACAACAGGATAAAGGAACGAAAACGGGCGGAGAAGGGTAGGACCAAAACGGATACGCGACCCCCCAAAACCGAGACGGGATCACCGCCAAGACCGAACGCGCGCCAAAAACGAAGGGTAAACGCACACACGCACGCAAAGACACACACGCGCACACACACACACACACACACACACACACGCACACGCACACACAGACACCCACACACACACACACACACACACACACGCACACACACACATAAACCACCCAAGCAAAACCCAACGGGGGCTCCGAGTTCAGATCGATCCAGAGGCCCCACTGAAAGAAAAAGGGGACAGACGAACAACCAGGACCAACAACTCAAACGGGCGCAATGTTCCGAGGGAGAGGGGCGACCACACGGCCCGTGTCAAAGGTGCCCCCATCATGGTCTTCGCGAGGAAAACTGTGAAGAATAGCTCGAAGACGCGGAATTTGAAAAGGAGGTTTAACCTTCTTCGGGGATGGTCCCACTACCGGAAGATCCGCGTGCTCAGAAAATTCAGAGAGGCAAAAGGCGACAGCAATAACGACAAACCCATGGTCCCGAAAAGACAGACTTGACAACACAGCATTTCAATGATAATCCAACCGCGCAAAGGAGAGTCAATGAGATACGCGGCATCATGACCCCACAGAGAGGCCCAAGCGAACACATGCGTCACCGTGAGACCATGGACAAAGCCCAGGAATTCCAGATGTGCAGAGCCAGCCTCGCAACATCAAGTGCCCCTGGTGCAAAACGCAATCGTTCGGCATTCCCTGGGAGGTCAGGGCCAGGAGCCCCTGCCTACAATAATAATGGGGACGTTGGTTCCAAGACCCCGCGGGCTGCGCCACTTCGGGAGCGGGCGTGGGGGCAACCTGCCGCGGGTTGCTCGAGTCTCGATGGTCGGGCGCAAATTCAAGCATCTTGCAAGTCGAGCCACTGACTCCTAGCATGCAGGGCGAAAGGGTGCACCGCAAAGCCTCTGCGTGGTTGCTGCTCAACCTTGAACTTAATGCTGCGGCTACCTAGCATGCATCACGCAGTCTCACATTCAACCACGCCGCCGGCCCAGGCGATAGCCCAAAAGTATTTTCACAACGCCATCAAGGCACCAAGTGTCACTACGGACGCAACGCGGCACGAGCTTTGCGGGTTAGTGCAAGCCTCGCGCACGCCGAGCCCACGACTCCGAAAATGCTTCGCGAATACGCATCGCAAAGCGCGCGTCTGGTCTATATACAATGCTGCTGATACTTGACATGCATGCACCGCACAATCTCACATCTAATAACACCGTCGCCCCTGGCACTGACCCCGAGATACCTTCGCCGCGCCATCGAGACACCAAGTGTCGCCACTGGCGCACAGTGACGCGATGACTGCGGCGCGCCGCGGCAGACTAAGTTGCGTCGGCGTCGGGCTCCCACGTCGCAGTCACTTCGGAATCGGATTCCCCCGACGTCTCGGAGACAGACCTCGGCGAGCACATAGCGTTGGGTTTCCCTTCGCGCGGGGGGGCGACCTGGCTGACCGCTGCGCGCCAGGCGCCCCCGTCGCAATAATAATCATCTCTCGAGGCGTCTAGCGCCGGGGCCCCCCGTCGCAAGAACGCGCGCGCCTGGCCCCCCGCGCCCCTCCGCCCCCTCCGGAGGAGGGCGGCGCGGGAGGGCTATCGGTGATATCGACGGCGGTGGCTTTGGCCGCTGGGGGGAACGCGCGTCGCTGCGGGCCTGCTCGAACGCCCTCGCCTTGAATCGTGAGCGGCGCGCTCGCGACTGCGAGCCGGCCTCGGAGGCGGCGCCCTACCTCCGTGGCCTATGCGAGGCTTGCTCGAGACCCGCGGGGAACTGGCCCCCCGCGAACCGCGCCTTGGGCTCGCAGGATATTTCTTCCCCCCGAGCAGTCGCCGAGGCGGCCCATTCGGTGCCGACGCGGCCACCTGGAGATGAACGTCCTGGGGGGATTTTGTCTTTTGTTGAAGGGCGTGTGCGGCCTTGTCTCCGCCGTCGCCCACGCGCGCAGAAGCGCGCTCGCCCCCGCGCCTGTGACCCCCGCCCGTGTTATGCCAGCACATCGCCCGGCGCCTTTCCTCGCGCCGCGGTTTGGAGCGCGTGCCTTTTCAGGCGCGCTCTTCGCGAAGCCTGCGGGGGCCCGACTCATCAAAAAGCCATGCGGTCATTGTCTGGAAGTGCCCGCGGTGACGCCGCGGGCAGTCCTCCACGTCGCCGATCGCTGCGCGCCCCCCTCGCTTGCAGACATGGCTGGGCGGCCACGTATCCGCTGCCGCCATGTCATTGCCTGCCATTTGCAGGCGCGGTTTCACTGAGGTTGACGCACTCGACGCATAACCAACCGCGGCGCTTCTGGGTCGCCGGGGGGGCGCATGCGAACTGCGCCACTGGGACCTTCGGTGGAGCTCCCTATGGGGCCACGAAACGCTGTACTGGGTGGGGGGGCGCATGCGAACTGTGCCACTGGGACCTTCGGTGGAGCTCCCTATGAGGCTACGAAACGCTGTACTGGGTGGGGGAACCGCATGCGGACTGTGCCACTGGGACCTTCGGTGGAGCTCCCTATGGGGCCACGAAGCGCTGCCCTCGGTGGGGGAACCGCATGCGGGCTGTGCCACTGGGACCTTCGGTGGAGCTCCCTATGGGGCCACGAAGCGCTGCCCTGGGTGGGGGAACCGCATGCGGGCTGTGCCACTGGGACCTTCGGTGGAGCTCCCTATGGGGCCACGAAGCGCTGTCCTGGGTGGGGGATACGCATGCGGGCTGTGCCACTGGGACCTTCGGTGGAGCTCCCTATGGGGCTACGAAACGCTGCCCTGCGGGGAAACCGCATGCGGGCTGTGCCACTGGGACCTTCGGTGGAGCTCCCTATGGGGCCACGAAGCGCTGCCCTGGGTGGGGGAACCGCATGCTGGCTGTGCCACTGGGACCTTCGGTGGAGCTCCCTATGGGGCTACGAAGCGTGTGAGAGGTGTGCCGAGAGCAAAGGCAAGGAGGAGGAGGAGGAGGGGGGAGGGGGGGAGGAGGAGAGGAGGTGGGACGCGGGGCGCTCTCTCTTCAAAACGAGGACCCAACACGACAGGATGGTTGGGAAAAAATGGCCTCGTTCGCAGGGGGGCGCGGCACCGCTCTGCGTTGGTGCCAGTGAAGACAGGTGCTCAACTATTGTCCATTCCGCAAAATCGCGTGGCTGCGGCCACGTGGACACGGGTTGCGGCATCTTCTTTGCCAAGCCCACGGGCCGCGTCGCTGGTGGAACTTGCCGAGCAGATATCGCGCAAAACTCCCCACCGACTCGCTTTGATTCAGCGCGCCTTGGAAACGCCCATGGCGCCTCTTTATACCTTCCACCTTCGCTTCAGAAGCTAAATATATTGCTGCGGTATCCACCTATCGTTTTTCTCCGCGCGCTTCCTACGGTGGAAGTTTGCACGATTTCCACCCGAGGTCTGCTTCGCAACATGCCCTGTTGCATCCGGCAAAAGTTTGCCTGGGCGCGCGTCGGCAGCCATTGACGACCGGCAATGAAGCGCCGCCGGGCAGAAACAGCAGCAACGGACAACAAGTCTCAGCGCGGAGCAAGAAACGGCAGACACAATCAAGCAGGGCGTTGGCGGCAAGAGCGGGAAGCAGGGAGCAGAGACGCCCGCGCCCCAACGACGGCGTCGATATCGCAGCGGCGGCTTCGGCGGCGGCGGCGAGGTCCTCAACGCGCCCGCCCTGGGCCAAAGGTCGCGCGCCCCCGTTCAAGACCGCTCCCATTGCGCGCCCACTGCGTTTTCAACGCGTCTCCGACCCCCGCCCCTGCGGGCCGGACAGCGGCCGACGCGCGCACGCATGGCGAACTCCACGGCCGCTCCAGCCACCGACCGCCAGCTGCAGCCGCCGACTTGCTCATGCGTTGCCTGGTGCTGCTACTGCCTGCTGCGACTGCCTGCCGCTGCCGATTCCCACCGCACCGCGACCGCATCCTCGCGCGTCGTGCCCAATGTCCGCAAGCCCCGTTTTTCTGGCGCCCGGAATGAGAGAGGGCGGGGCGGGGGGGGGGGGGGGCGGCCGTGCCACGCCCAACTTGCGACGCTTCGTCTTGGAAAATTGTCGCATTATCGTGCAGGACATGCGTCGCATAGCTGCCGGGCTCAATTTTGCCTTCGCCCCCAGGCCCCCG